ATCACATTCCCTCCACTAGAAGGGCACTTCATAACAGTACCCTTTTCCATTGGATGGGCACACATAGGGGTAAGGGCACCTTATAGGGCACTGCATCACCGCAAATCGACCCATAGAATACTGAGGTCATTACATGATCTTCTTCTGGTTGTCGCCCAGCCTTGTTTAAAATGTAAAGGGGATTGTGCTTTTGCAGTTTATGGTGCACGACTGTGGAATAGTCTGCCACCTCATATTAGAGTCTCTCCGAATATGTCTTCTTTTAAATCCAGTCTTAAAACATATCTCTGTTCTAGGGCATTTGAGACATTTTGATGTTCATGACATCTGTTTTCAGTGGTTATGCATATCATTATATATTTCATTTTATGTAAGTACTGTTTATTTTAGCTATTCTACTCATCTTTGTACAGCACTTTGGTAAATACCTAAAAACTGTGGTGTTTTAAAAAATGTGCTTTAAATAAATGTTACTTACTTACCAGGGTGACAGAATCTGGGGCTCTTGAAGGAATCTCCAAGGTGAAGAAGACCTCGAATGGGCGTGAACGACAGAGGGAGTTTGCCCTTTGAGACTCCTTGGGGCACGATGAGCCATGGAGTTGCCTCTGATTACTTAGTTCAAGGCCCACCTCTCCATCAGCCTCTTTGGGTCAGGACCTGGACAGTCCGAACCTCACTATGCAAGACTGATACTAGGTGTTTCCATTGATTTTGCTTCTGTTATGTTACTCTTCTGTTCCTGTTGAAAAGACTGGCCCCTGCTCTCAGCTTGCAGATGGTATGAGCTCAGGAGAATGTGTCTGAGGAGAACTTTTCACCTCTGAAGCATGCAAGTCAAGCTGAAAGCTGCAGAAAGGCAATGACGTTTTTTCAGGTGGAAATGCCCTATCTTTCTCTAACTTTTTTCAGTTACTATTCAGCGTGTTTAGTGCTTTTTGGAGCACTGTTTTGTATGCAGTGGCTTCATATGAGACCGTTGAAATCAGATGAACTGCTGTTATGGTCTCCCCAGCTTCCTGTTAGGAACTCTGTGTGTAAGAGAGAGATATCTCTCTGCATAGGCAGTGAATCCAGTTGGTAAGTATGTTTATCTCCCTTTAGTATGCCTGTTATTGTTTCCAGGAACAGTTTTTCCAGTGTTTACTGTAGTGAACTGCAGGAATCTGCAGATGTCACTCCAAATGAGTCCAGAAGAGTACTTCTTGGGGGATGTGCTTTTCAAGTGATTACTCAAGGGATCTACAAGTATCGGCAGGTGTCACTCCAGAAGAATACTGCTTGGGATTTTGCAGTGATTACTATAGTGATCTACAAAAATCTGCAGGTCTTGCTCCAGATGAGTCCAGTAAAGTATAGTGAAGGGGGGGGGGGGGTTCTTTTTCCAGTGATTATTGTAGTGATCTGCAGGTGTCACTCCAAATGAGTTTGGTCCCCCATACAGATGAAGACACGCTTCTCAGCAGCAATAAATACCTGCTGCTTCCTTTTAATGTATTCATTTTGTTGTTTTTCTTGTTATCTATAATTAATGTATCTTCTCGTTTGACGTGTTATAAGTTTAATTTGCGTGACAGGAAGGTAAATCTCCAGTGTAAATGACAATAAACCTAGTTTGGGTGCAGCGTGATTCTCTGTTTACTGGCCAGACCACTAATGAATGTCCTCTTATAAATTGCTTCAGCAAGGCTGCATGAATGACTTCTGCAGCTGCGATTTTACTGGGGATATAGGTGTGTTTGCATGCCCTTCCCTTAATGCATGCAAACACACCTACGAAGAATTGTGCATAGGGTAACTGGCATCTGTAACCTACTTTCTCATTCTCCCCGTCATTTTTTTCTCCAGAGCACTTATCCTAAGCTCATTTGGTGCTTTGTCAATGCTCTGTAGCGTGTCTACGTAAATCGTGCAGCTTTAAAGTGTCGTGTTGCTGGGGTGTTCAGCCTGGGGGTGTCAGATTTGTATGGGGATCGAGGCGGCATACAGATAAGGCAGTGTTGAAGTTGGCAAAGTGTAGTTGGCTACGGTCAGAATTGAAGCTAGTTAAGCACCCAGTTCTTTATGGTAAACGTGGTATCAGTTATAAGCCCACTGGCGCAAAGGTGCTTTGGATAAAATCATCGGAAAACATCAAAATTGTTTTAATACTCATAATTTACAACTAACTGCACTCGCATTGCTTCAGAAAAATTTCGATAAATAGCAAACACCTGTGACATTTTCCTTTTTACGCAATGGTAGTTATTCAAAGGCACTTAATGGTTTAAGCCCTTTCATCGTCGAGTGTTTCATTTGTCTACACCCGAACTTTTGACACAAATTAAAACGGAACGTAATACATCAGTTTCAATATCCTTCGCCATACTCTGCAATCGGAAATGGGAAGTACTTTTGAGCGTCAGGAGCGGCGCGCTGCAGTCATACCGTCTCGGTCACCCACGAGTACACCGTGTCTCCTGCGGCAGAGCCCGGACGCACGGATACCCGCCTGCACCATGTAAGTGCCTAGTGCTGTCGGTGCTGCTTCGCAGCGGCGGCGCCAGGAGCGCAATGCCGTAATCGTAATCTCTAAATAACTGCCGAGTTATTTAGTCTTGTTAATATCTCATACGCACAATTTTTAGGGTATATGATTTTATATAGCCTAACCGGTGTTCATGGGTGGGTAAAGCGTGGGAAAAAATATTTCGTTATTTTGCTTTTGCAATGTGGAATTTAGAAGCTGCGGTTCTTTTTTCCTAGTTATGTCATAATTGTGGGAAAAAATTAAATAGCTTTTGTAATGAGTTTTTTAAGTAAAGAAAAGTTCAGTAAGCTGTAATATTTTGTTTAATAGTTCTGAAATGGCTGTCCCGAATCGATCGATATTAACGCTTAGATGAAATGTAGGAATCATTGTTAATGATCAGGGTTGTTGTTAGGTTATACTGTGAATTGAATTTTAGCATGAATGAGTGATTGCGCGTTTGACCTGTTTCTGAATGCTTTAGTGATATTAAGACATCCCTGTTTGCTGCAGATGGGTGCAGTTTCCTTAGATCGAGGTCGGGAGAAAGAGCTTTTGGCATTAGTTCAGCGTAGATGCTGCAGATTATCTGCAGTGCTCCAGATCTACCGACTTCTCCCAAATACACTATAAATAGGTATTCTATTATTCTACTACTTTTACTTATATCTGTGTGGTGCCAAAGTTTAGTACTTTAATTTAGTTCATATTTATTGAGAAACAAGGCAGCGTTTTTTCTGTATTTAATTAATTTAATTTCAAGGGTAGATATCAAATGTACAATATAGCCGCATGCGGCGATTAACATGGTCCAAGCACTATGGCCCGAATAGATGCTTTGGCCACATTTAACATCAAATGTTCCATTACAGTGTCTGTAAATGAATGTGTATTAAGTATGGTCGCACTTTGTGTATGTTTGGCTTTAAAATTTTGTGAAGCAGGGCAGACCAAGGTATCACGGTAGTGGTGAATGAAAACGAGGAGAGACGGATTCGCATTTAGTTGTTCCATAATGTAGTCCTTAGCAGGACTGCACTCTAGCAACAACGCTGCGATAGCGTGGTAAAGTTGGTTTTATATTAGATATTCGTTTGATATTCGGATTTGCCTCCCCTATATCTTTGAAACGACACCACCAAAAACCACAAAAGTCAGATTTTCTTTTTCGGAAGAATAAACAGATTGTACTACAACATTGTATAGTGACTGATATGTTCATTAATTATTGTAGTGATGAGGCATTTTCCGCGAAACAAATAAGCCAGCGTTGGAAGCGCAGCCTTTTGCTAGGGACCGTCTACAAAGTGCATTCAGTAGGAACAGGGGAATCAAGCATTACTATTGGAGCATTTCTGCTAAGATTTTCTAACAAAAAATCTGTGAAGTTCTTCCAAAAAGACACTAGGAAGAAGAACAAACTATTTCAGTTGCCTTTCAAAGTATAATAAATTAAATCCTAAAGGAGATACAATAATTACACATACAAAGTAAACCAATTTGTAACATTTTTTTTTAAAACCACACAAATGAATTTCTCTTACTACAACGGTTGTAGTAATTGCCAGAGGTGATGAATGACTTACTACAAGTGGAATTTACAGAAATCTCTCATGTCAAGTGAATAGTAGTTCAATACTAAAATGAGCTTGCAAAATAGGCCATGAAGTGTATATGTGACCAGATGATGAACTCTGCAAATGAAGTAGGACAGGATAAAATATCTAATCAGTTGTCTGTAACCGAGAATGGGAAAAAATACTGATTTGGGGAGACTTCAAATGGTTGTTCAGGGTGAGAATAGTGGGCCTAAAAGCAAAACGATAAGGTTGAAGACTGGTGGCAAATAAAATCAATGTCCAAAATGGATAAATTAGAAAAAAGTAGTGTGTCACAGGAATGATCTGGAGACAGAAAAGTGGTTCAGAATCCCATATCATCAAGGAAGTTTAATTTAAGGAAGTTGTGCAAATAATAATAATTATATAATATCAAGAATGACAATAAGTGTCACATCCCAATCGTTCAGATCCCCTCTCTGTGCCTGCAATTCGTGACAGAATGACCAGACTCAACAAGAAGACAAGGTGGCGTACCTCAGTCTAGTCGATGAGGTGATATACTGGCTCAGACAGTCCAGAAGGACCCCATAACTCAAGCCCTTGCTATACAGTCGAGGGATAACCTGGAAGAGATCTCCTCGTCCGAAGACTCGCACCTCACGATGCGAGAAAGCCTTCTGCAGCTGAGGAGTGTAGTAGCAGAGACGATGATCAGGCAGGAATCCCTGGACTGTGGACTGCCTTTGTGGTAGAAAAATTATAAATCAAGGACTTAGAATAAAAGTCTGGACCTCTTAGGTTGGTGAGTAAAGAAAATCTCTTTTATTCCAGCAAGTTCAGCAAAGCGCTCCCATCACACTCTGGCGCTTGGTACCAAGTCACCCCCGGCACACAGAGCAACCAGTAGATAAACCATAACTCCCAGGACTTCTAAGTCCTGATTGGTCATGAAACATCAACAAACTAAGCTGAAACGTAAAACAAACACAATTCTCCCGCTTCATTGGTTCACTTTGGTAGCAAGGTAAAGTCCACCCATTGTACGCAACTTACTGGAGACAGCCTCTGCTTCTAGACTCTACATGAGATATGTATATAGATATTAATTATATGACATTGAATCAGTGTTAATGTTTGATTAATGATGAACACATTGACGTATTGTCTCTGAATCACTGAAAATACATGGTTAACATATTAGTATGATTAACATAAGTATGATTAACATGATGCGATCAATTGCATATAACATATTATATATTGACTACTACTATTCTATTAAGCTATAACTCTTTGTGCACCAGTTGGGGCGGCTTCGAGTCTCTTCCTGCAAGTGGTTTCTCCCCCCCTTTGCTCCACTGTCTGCCCCTCCAAGGTCCGAGCTTCTGCGGAGCCAACTGCAGGCAGCTATCACAAAGCGAGGTCACACAGTATTCAAAACAATCTCTTCTGGCCTAAGGCCTAAGACATAACAGACCCAATATGCCTCCTCTCCTGGGCCTACTAATGTCCAATTTTACTTCCACACCTTGTTCTCTGTTAGAACTGCCTGAACCATCCCCGGCTCTGACTACAGCTGCAGGTAAAAAGAAGTGGAAGAATCGGGGAGAGGCAGATTCCTCAGGAATCCTGTTAAAACCCCACGTGAACCCTGTTTGCTTCCCAGTGGTTAAGCATGAGGCGTATCTCACGGTACTCGACCCGGCGGTGTTTGTCACACCCAGGTCGTCAGCCACCACTCCTCCCAAGTCTGCGTCTGACCTCCCTGCTGCTGGTCCGCTCAGATCGGTGCTTAAAGTCCCCGCCACTCCATCCCTGTTGGGAACTCTCCATTCCAGTGGTTCCCGAGATGCCTCCCGACACAGTCTTCTGTTCCCTGACTTCCAGTGTGCTCAATCTCCTTAGCCCCAGTTCCCGAGATTCCCGTATCTGTCCCAGTTCCTGCACGTGTCCCAGCGTCAGGTCCCTTCCCGGCTCCCATCCTGGGTCCAGTTCCCATGTCCGCTCCAGTTTCCGTCCCAACTCCAGACCCCATGGCCACCCTGTTTTGGAAGATCCTGGCCAGGACCCTCTCTCTCACAGAGGGAGAGGCAACTTACACCGGGGTCAAGTCCCACCCACCCTGCCCCCAGGTTTGCCTTCAGTCCCCGTTACTTCTGCCCAGCAGTTGCTGATGGTTCCCCAGCCTCCTGCTCGGCTGTCGCCTGCGGTCCCCCTGGCTCCTGCTCGGTGGTCACCTGCGGGCTCCCCTGCAGTCACAATTTCACAGATGTTTGTATTAGAAAATCGTTTTGCAGAAAATGCCTTGTCACTTTAATAATTAATGAACATATCAGTCACTATACAATGTTGTAGTACAATCTGTATTTTCTCCTGAAACAAAGTGTGACTTTTGTGATTTTTGGTGGTGTCGTTTCAAAGATATAGCAGAGGCAAATCCGAATATCAAACGAATATCGAATATAAAACCAACTTTACCACGCTCACAGCGATACGTAAATACGGCAGACAAATGCAGGGAGGTTACACAATAACCGGGAAGGCTCACACTGAATAAGA